AGAAGAAGAAGAAGAAGAAGAAGAAGAAGAAGAAGAAGAAGAAGAAGAAGAAGAAGAAGAAGAAGAAGCAGAAGCAGCAGCAGCAGCAGCAGCAAGTAATCTAGCCAGCCTGGGACTGGATGGCTTTACTACTGAATTCTACCAAACATTTAAAGAACTAATGCTAACTCTTTTTTGTTTTTTGGTACTGGGAATCGAACTCAAGACCTTGCACTTGCCAGGCAGGCAAACACTGAGCTAAATCCCTGGTGCTGCCAACTCTTCAGATAACAAAATCAGGTAAAGAAACAACGAGAAAAGAAAACTGTAGATCAATATCCCTGATGTTCACAAATACAAAAATGTTCAAAATTTTAGCAAACGGAGTTTAAGAACACCTAAATGAATCATTCAGCATGATCAAGTGAGATTTATCCCTGAGAGGGTGGAATGGTTGAACATGTGCAAATCAATAAATGTGATACACCATTTGGATAAAAAGAAGGATAAAGATTGTATGACCAAGTCAAGAGACACACAAAAAAGACTGGACAAAGTTCAAAACCCTTTCATAATAAAAATGCTCCAGAAGTTAGGTAGGAAGGGAATGTACTTCAACACAATAAAGGCCATCTATGACAAATCTCTTGCTAGCATTCTCAACTGTGAAAGTTAAAAGCTTTTCTTCAGATCAGGTGACAAAATAAAGATGTTAATTCTCACCATTTCATTTCAACATAATACTGGAAGTCCTAGCTAGAACAGTGTGGCAAAAGAAAGAAATAAAAGGCATCATGGTAGAAAAGGAAGTAGTAAAATAATCATTGTTCATTGATGACATGATTTTATAGATAGAAAACCTTTAGGACTCTATCAAAGAACTGTTAGAAATTGATAAATGCAGTAAAGTTTTGAAATACCAAAATCAATGTACAAAACTGTAGTGTTTCTGTTCACTAATAATTGTCAAAAAAGGAATTCAAGAAAACAATCCTATTTACAACAGCAATAAAAAATTAAATACTTAGGTATAAATCAAATCAAGGAGGTAAAAGACATGTATTCTACCTTGATATGGTGTCATGCATCTATAATCCCAGCTACTTGGGAGGCTGAGGTAGGAGGATTGCAAGTTCAAAATCAGCTGGGACAATTTAACAAGAGCTTGTCTCAAAAGAAAAAAAAAAAAAAAAAGAAAAGCTGAAGATGTAGTTCACTGGCAAGCATGAGGCCCTGAGTTTAATTCCAGTACTACAGAAACAAACAAGCAAAAAACTGTGTACTAAAACTGAAAAACTCAGTGAAAGAAAGTAAAGAAAACACAAATAAATGGAAAGATATTCCATGTTCATGGATTGGGAAAATCCATGTGGAAATGTTCATACTGCCTGAATTGGTCTACAGATACAATGCAACCCCTATCAAAATTCCAATACCATTTTTCACAGAAATGGCAAAAACAATCATTAATTGAGAACTACAAAAATCCAAAGAGCTAAAAAAGTTGAGCAAAACACAAATATGAAAACAACAAAAATAACAACAACAAAAACCACAACTGGAGGCATTACAGTCCCTGATTTAAAAAAACACATTGTGAGGTGATAGTAATAAAAATTGCATGATACTAGCATTAAAAAGACATAGTAACAAGTAGAAGAGAATAGAAAACCCAAAAATAAACCTATCCATTTATGGGCCTGATTTTTGAAAAAGGTGCCAAGAACACAAAATTGGGAAAGACAGTTTCTTCCACAGATGGTGTTAAGAAAACAGGATATTCATGTAGTAGAATGGAATTAAGTCTTTACCTTAAATCACAGCAAAAATAAACTCAAAACGTATTATAGACTTAAATATATGACCCTACATTGTGGAACTACTAGAAGAAAACTTAGAGGAAAAGCTTCGCGATATTGGTTCAGGCAATGATATTTTGGATATGACAGATAACAAAGACAAAAATAGACTAATGGAATTCCACCAAAGTAAAAAACATCTGTACAGCCAAACAAACAACAAAACAAAGAAACAATCTACCTAAGAAGAGAAAATACTTGGAAATCATACATTTGATAAAGCATCAACTCAATTGCAAGAAAAGAAATAATGCAGTTGGAAAAATGGGCAAAAGACATTTCTCAAAGAAGACGTATAAATGGCCAGTAGATATAAAACTTCTGTTCCATATACATCCTATGATTATTTTTTCTATTTCTATAAAACTACCATTGAGATTTTGGTAAAGATTGTGCCTGAATCTGTAGATCTCTTTGGGTGGTGCTATGGTCTGAATGTGTCCCCTAAAATTCATATGTTGAAAAATAATTGCCAATGAGATAGTATTAAGAGGTGGAATCTTCAGGAAATGATTGGTTCACAAGGGCTTATCATTTTGAGTGGGATTAATGGCCTTATAAAGGGCCGGGAGAAACTCATTAGTCCCTTTGCCCTTCTGACTTCTGCTGTGTGAAGACATGGCATTTATTTGCTCTAGAAAACGCTGCTACCAGGGGCCATCTTGGAAGCAGAGGTCCAGGCCTTCATTAGACACCATGCAAGAGGGCACTTTGATAGTTTACTTTTACCCTCCAGAACTGTGAGAAATAAGTTTCATTCTTATAAATTACCTAGTCTCAGCTATTTTGTTGTAGCAGCACAAATGGTAGTACAGGTAGTGTGGATATTTTAGCAATAGTAATTCTTTTAATTTACTCAACAGGTATTTTTTTTCCACAGGGCTTTTGTCAATGTGTTACAATTTTCAGCATATAAATTTGTCACCTCTTTCACTAAGTTTATTCCTAAGCACTTTATTCTTTTTTATTTTCTCTATTCTGTATTTGATTTATTTCTGCTCTTTTATTTTCTTCTTTCTGCTAATAATGAACTTAAGATTTTTCTTCTTTTTCTGGTTTGTTGAGGTGAGAAAATAGATTATTTCAAATCTTTCATTTAAAATATAGATGTTTACAATTACACATCTCTGTCTTACTACTGCTTTTGCTGTATCCCATACATTTTGGTATTTTGTTATCATTTTCACTTGTTCAGAAATTTTGATGTTTGTTTTTGTTTTTGAAACAGGGTCTTGCTGTGTAGCCCAGGCTAGCCTGAGCACATGATCCCCTTGTCTCAGCCTCCCAAGTGCTGGGATGGCAGGCATGTACCATGACGTCCAACTTCAGCTGGAAATATTTTGAAAATTCCCTTTTAATTTACTTTTTGACCCAGAGGTTGTCAAGAATGTGGTATCTAAATATGAACCTTTCCATTTAATTACGGTTCTTAATTTCTAGTTTCATTTACTGAGTCTAGAAAAGATACTTGGAATCACTTGATAATTTAAAATTTGATAAGAATTTGTTTTGTGACCTAAATATGATCCATGCTGGAGAAAGAGAAATCTGTTGGGTGGAAAGTTCTGAATATATCTGTTAGGTTTATTTGGTCTGTTGTACTCAAGACAGCTGTTGATTTATTGATTTTTCTGCCAGGATGATCTTTTCATTCTTTAAAGTGAAATATTAAAGTCTCCTATCATTATAGTATTGCTGTCAATTTCTCTCTTGCTATGTCCATATTTATTCAGTTTAATTAATTAATTTGTTTTGCAGTACTGGAGTTTGAGTACTCAACCATTCGACCACTAAGATATATCCCCAGCCCTTTAATATTTGTTTTATGTAGTCATATGCTGTTATGTTGGGTGCAAATGTATTTATAATTGTTAGGGTTTTTTTTTTTACCCTTTTGTCATTATACATGACTTATTTTTAGAGATAGTTTTTGACTTAAAGTACATTCTGTGTGCTGTAAGTATAGTCCCTCATGCTCTCTTGGTTACCCTTTTGCATGGAATATCTCTTCACACCCCTTCACTTTCAGCCTATGTATGTCCTTAAATCTAAAGTGAATTTTCCCCCCAGTTACCATGGTATTTATTTGAACTAAGAGGAAAAAGTCTTAATGTCTTCATGCAGTACATACTTGGTTCATTCAATAACAATTGTGACAAATAGCAAAAAGAATTAAGGGAAATTAATGAAATTTTAGACAGTGTTAAGAATAAACATTAGAGTACAGTTGGAAGAATGTTTTGGGGAGGGACAAACGTATGTCATTTTTACAAAATATAACTGAGCAATGGTCCATCTCTCCCGTGATTATAGGTACATGCAGCCAGTGGTTTATTTCTCTATCATTTATCACTACTCAAAAGGTCCACAAAATGGTGAAATCAGTCCCATTTTCTGCACCTCTATTTTCTCAGAAGGAAAAAAAATGGAGATACATGCGAGGGACCTCTCATTTTTATTCTAATGTCCCTTGCTGGATTTGAGAACCATTGCTTCCCCTTGCTCAATAGGATGAGGTAAGACTGACAGTCCATTTAAGATAGACTTCATGAGCATTTAGAAAGTGTAGGTAAGCAAACCAATTTTTAAAACAATTCTGAATATCAGTTTCTATAGGCAGCCCCAGGATTTGAATCATTTCCTGAAAAATTACTTCTGCTTTTGTCAAGTTTCCTGCTACCACTCTAGAGACTGGGCTGTCTCCTCACTGCCACATGCCTCACACTTCTATAACCCAGCTCTCACCACTGAAGGCCAAAGATACCAGATGGAGCCAAGTAGCAGTGCCATTTATTCCACTTTGGAGCTCCCCACTGCGGTCCAGGTGCAGGATGACTACAGACCACAGCGAAGAGGTGAGTTAGCCAAGCGAGCATGGCAATTTGCAGATGAGTGTAGGTCAAGGATGAATGAAGAGTAGAGGAAGTTTGGAGTAGCAGGTGCAGAAAAGCTGAAGATTATTTGAAGAATTACTTTGGATCCAGTTTGCAGTCCTGTGCTGGACTACAGATATTTGGTGTGTGGTATGGGATATGAGCTCAGTCCTCAGGTAAATTCATTTCTACTCATCCACTTCTAGGCTCTCACCTCATTCCAGGCCAGGGCAGTGCCATTATCCTTTATTGCTCCCGAATTAAAGCAAGCATTTTGTTGGGAGAGTTTTATCTCTATTCATGTTGAGAGAAGCGTTGGTCCAGCTGTTTAAATTCTAGACATCTTCGTTTTTCTGACTATGAAATGAAAAAGACACCATTGATTTTGCTAATGGGTAACAGTAAGATTTTGTCAGAAGAGAAACTGACCATTTCCTCTCCCCAGAGATAAACAATGCCATCAGATTCTCAGGTGCACTTGCAGAAATATTGCTATACCCTATTCTGGGGGATGTTTCATATGTTTAACTGTGTATTTTGAAAATCAGTCCATTTAAGAAGAAAAACAGCATTTCTTTGTTAGAAGCAGCATATTCACTTTATGGTTGTGTCAGAACGAATTTGTTCTTTGGTTGATGGTGAATAGCTTTACACAGAAGGCATTTTACACATCCGGGTATTGGTAGGAAAAATGTCTCGAGAAATTGCTGGGCTAAAGTGTAAATTTTGGTAAATAGTGTCAAATTGTTGTCCAAATTCTGAAGAAGTTATACTAATTTATATTTTTATCACAAAAGTGTAAAAACATACAAGCCACAAGTTAAGTGGAAAAGTTTTCTTTAATGTGGTGAATATAACATTTTCTTCAAGGTAGCTGTTGATGCTCACCTAGGACTTTAGAACAAGTCCCCAACAACCAGGACAGGAATCTTTGTGACCTGTGTCTCAGTCCCTTGGGCCAAACTACTTCAAAGATCCCAGATACCTTCCCTGCCTTCTCTTTTCTTTCAGGCTTTTCTCGGACTCAGGGTTTTGCTTTGGATTCTGTCTTTTTGGGGGGGGGGGTGCTCTGATCGAACTTGGGACCTTGCACTTGCGAGGCAGGTGGCGGAACCACTGAGCTAAATCCCCGGCCCCCTGGTTTCTGTTTTTGCAGCATCTTCTTCTAAGTCTTCTCTTTTCTGCCTTGTGGTGATAGTGCTGGGGCTTTTGAACATACTTCTTACAAGTTTGCTGCTGTACCTGTGGATTCCGGGCCAAGGTGAGTGCTAACTTAAACCAAAATTAACTTTTCATTTTTTCTTTTTAAATTGTAAAACATAGAAAATTTGAAAAATGAAAAAAATAATTTCAACAAAATAAGTTACTGCCTGTACACAACTATTTTCACAATGTGGCCTCCTCATTTTGACTAACATATTTTTTTCTTAACATAATTGCAATCAAATCCTCTTGAAATCACTCCCATCATTTTTTTTTTTCAAAACAGGATGGAAATAAGAGGCTTATAGTTTTGTATGTTGCTTTAAATTTCATATTGTGTCACAAACCTTTTCCTACTTACTATCACATTTATCATAATTAAATTATAACATTAATCGTGTTTATCCTTCCACCTAATGGATGTTGCATAATTAATTTAACATTCTGATATTTTTGCCATTTAAGAGCTTCCATATTCTCTAAAATTAACTTTTCTAGGTTTAGTTCTTTTAGGTCTTTAAACGCAGTGATCAGGGGCTGTCGGTTTATTACCTCACAACCCAGAGTCCTCACATAGCTCGTGTTATGGGGGATGATTGTGTATACAGAAGTTGCTGACATGGCTTATATACAATTAATGCCTAGGATCCTAAGGGTTCAGCCCCAGCATCCCTCCCACGCACTCAGGTCCTATGTTTGACAGAAAGAAACTCTTAGGGATGTTAGGGATTTCTGATGTAGGGAATGGGAAGTGTCACAGTTGTACAGAAAAAAATCATAAATCTGTAAGGTGCCAAGTTAATCTCTTGATCTACAGAAGCCTCCACTGGTCCTTTGCAGGCCTTTCCACAGAAAACCACCTGATCTTTACATGAAAAAGAACTACTTCCCCACCTTTAAATTCCCAAATTGAGACTAGATGAGTGATCTATCCAGCAATTATGTATCTACACATGTGCCCACCTGGAACAAGGGCTCACATTGTTCCCCCAGAGAATTGTCCTTGTGGTGAGATTCTGCAAGTATGTTTCAGAGAATCTGGTTTGGAATGATCTCAGCTTATCCCCTCCTTCTGACAGAGCTACAAGGCAGTCATTTTAACAGACTGAGGATCACCTGTAATTAAAAGACCTGAGTGAAGAGAATCCTTTTCTCACTTTAATATATGACATTCTTCTGTCAGGATTGTTTAAATACCTAAAGTAAATAATCTTTGCTGAAGTATAAGTAAGTCTTCCCATTTCCAGTGTTATAGACAATCGCATTGGGATCACAAACCTTGTGGTCTAGTTGTTTGTTCTTTCTTTCCTTTTCTAACTCACCATTATGGTGTGTCATGCGGATGGGAGGCACACGGAATGAACCTGCCTGACTGGAGCCATGTGCACCACGCAGCCATGGTGACTGTGCCGAGCAAGTGCAGATGGCACACAGGGGTGTGTCAGGCAGGTCGGGCGCGTGTGCATCAATGTGCACAGGGATTTGTTAGTGTGACTAATGTGCTCTCCTCACCATCCTCAGGCATATGGTACCTCATTTTCTTCCCACCCCTTCGGTCCTTGTCACGGCCTTTCTTCGTGGAGTGTGCACTAGTGCTGGCAGAGTTGGAGGCTGTGCACTGTTATGCTTTTCTTTAAACCTTAATCTGAAAGGTGGCAGAGCAGGGAAGACACTGGGGAGCCATTTCCCCTTATCTCTCCCCTTTCGTTTCCAAGGCTGTTGACTCCATGAAAACGTGAACCATGATCCTCTTCCTTTCTAGGCCCCAGTGACTCGAATCGTGCCAGCTGTCCTAGCTGCCCGGACTTCTGGATGAGATTTGCTAACCATTGTTACTATTTCTCAGTGGAGAAAAAGGACTGGAATTCCAGTTTGCAATTTTGCATAGCCAGAGACGCACAGCTCCTTATAATTCTGGACAATCAGGAAATGGTAAATAAAAGGATCATTTAGGAAATTTAGGTTTTAAGCCAGCCATGGTGGTGCACACCTGTAATTCCAGAACTGTGGGAGGCTGAGGCTGGGGGGCCAGTAGATTGAAACCAGTACAGTGATTTAGGGAGACACTGTCTCCAAAATTTAAAAAGGGGCTGGGGATGTAGCTCAGCATAAAGGCCCTGAGTTCAATCTTGGGTACCAAAAACTAAAAGAAAATAGAACAGACCCCCCCCCCGCCCCCCCCCACACAAAGCAACATACATTTTTTTGGTGCTGGAGATTGAACCCAGTGCCTTCACACTGAACTACATCTGCAGCCCTTTTTATTTTGAGACAGAATCTCTCTTAAGTTGTAAAGTTGCCCAGGCTGGCTTCTAGTTTGTGATCCTCCTGCCTCAGCCTACCAGATTGCTGGGATTCCAGGCATGCATTATCATGCCTGGTCATTAAATGTTTTCTTTTTAATGTCTGCCTTTCATTCATTGGAATTTAGTAAGTTACAGACTGGGAACAATGTTCAGATATTTGAGATAAAGGGAGGAAGAAGGGAAGAAGGGAGGGAGGGAGGGAGAGAGGCTGTATGCTTAAACACATGTGGAGCTCAGATGGTGGGAGGTAATAGGATTTCTCTTCCTACGGCTTCTCGGATCCTTCTGTCCACTCAGCAGTCTCTTCTTTGAGAAATCTCTTTTAGTCTTGGAGCATCTCAAGGCAATACACGGAACTGATGTCCTGCTACTGAAATCAGTCAGATTGAGTAAGAATGAACATACACAACAAAAATAAGAAATCCCAGTTTGATTTTTAGTGCTAATTTCATGCTGACTTTTACATTTGATATTGCTGTTTTCTTTTTTGAGTAGAATCAGATCACAGAGAACTGTTTATTAAGAATTTAACTGTATTAACCTTTGAGGAAATCCAGAGAGGCAATTACTTTAAAGCAGTTAAGAAAAACAGGTAGACCTTAAATTTCATAAGTCTTTCCTGTTTTAAGGAAAGATTCAAGGATCTAGATTCTTGTTTTTGTCAAAGCAGCTCTCATTCATTTGAAATTCTGGGTAGAATCTAAGCGCCAAACCAGTCCCTTTCTGTGACTTGCTTTTCTTTTTCACCTACCCTAGCCAAGTGGCAGAACGCGCTGGGGCCTGTGCAGTAGATGTGAAATCTGCGTTTTACGGCCTCTGGGCACAGTGGCCTGGCTTTCTGGACCTTGTGGTGCCAACTGCTAGTCTCATTCTGGTAGAGCTGCCTCCGAGGGCCTGAGCTGACTGAAGTCAATAGCAGAAGTGAGCGAATAGCAGAATTTGGCCACATTGCAAATACCAACAGACAGGAGCAGGGAGTCAGTGTGCAGGACATTGCCACAGCAATCTTAAGTTACACATTAGCAGTATTACTTACAAATGTGAGACAAAGTTTAGAAAAACACATATTCTGTTTTTCTAGGATTTTGGACACCCTGTACTTTATGTTCTGCTTTTAGCACGTAACATTATTTCATTTCTGTTTTTTTCCTAGCACCAAATTATTCCTGATAATTTTTTAAAAAGTAAATTATTTAATTTTTAGAAATTATTTATAATAACTAATAATATTTATTTATAATAATATTTATAATAAGTCTGTATTATCCTATTATTGCTTAAATCTTTTCATATTCCTAAATAAAATTCTACCTATATGTAAATTATTATGAACCATGAGCCTATTCATATGGATTATTTTTTCTTGGGATCCTTTGTGTTTTATTCATTAAAATTGAATTGGCTAGTCAAAAGCTATGACTAATTTCGTAGTTTTTGTATAGTATTTATTTTTCCTTGATATGTGTTGAAATAACTTACACTTCATAAACCATGTTAATTTTGAAAGGTTAAGGAGTATGCTGTGTGCCTTAATAATATTTTAATTTCAATTTATAAATACTACCTACAAAATTGTGTCTGTGTAAGGTTATGAATATTAACCTAAAAAAAGGAAAAGGAAAGAAAATGGATTCTCTTTTTACTTTGTCACTTTTAGTTTTTGTGATTTTTTTCTTTCTGAAATACAAGCAAACATTACAAGCTCAAAGTGACACAACACCTAAGTGCTCTACTTCACACCCTTTTCGGGGGACAAGAGTTCTGAGTTAACACCCTTATCTATACTTTTATGCTTTTTCTGGTTTTTCTCACACTCACTGACACATACCCGCACACCCGAACACATGCACATGTTCTCTCTGAGGGCATAGAGGCATGGTTTCGGATTGCATGGACCCGAGAACAGCTGATGAGCACAGCACTGAGGGTATAAGTGGCCCGTATTTAAGCCCAGTGCTTCAGACACTAATTGAAATTTTTGAGCACACCTTTATTCATTTCTATGCTTTATTTTTATTTTTTTCATTTCTATGCTTTATTAATTGCTGTTCCTCATCCTGAAATGACAAGGCAAAGAAATTGACTTCTGAAAAATCAGATGGAGAAATGAGGAAACATTCACCCCAGCCCAATTTTAATAATTTTTTTAAGCAAGTTGGTTTCATTTCTCTTGCTCTTTCTTTTATCTTCAGTCTGCCTCCTTGCTCCCAACATAAACGATTTTTGCTTCCTGGTGGTGAACACTACAGAATTTGTATGTAAGGAGGCTTTAGTTTCTTGCAACATAATACTGACACTGTAGTCTTTTGTTCTGCGAATATTTACTGAACATAGTTTCATAAATTTTCTAGGTGCTGGGGTTATTGGAAGCATTATAGTGCTTACAATTTTTAGTCAGAAGAGACATAACAAAAAAGCAAATAAATATGGTGATGTATTCTTTGAAGGAAATGAAACTGTTCACTATGGTAGTAGATGTGGGTATTGCTTTAGATGGGGCAATTAAGGAAGGCCCTTCTTGGGAGGAAATAGTTGAGGTGAGACCTGAATGCCAGTCATGTGAAAATCTAGCAATTAGGGAAAAGCTATGCAAAGACCCTAAAGCACGAATGCGCTTGGCATACATAGTAAAGGAACAGAAAGTAGGTTCACGTGGCTGGAACTCAGTAAGTGGTTGTCAAGTGTAAGCCATGCAGTACATTGTGTATATGGAAAGGATTTTATATTTTAAGGATTAAAAAGCTATGAGGAGAAAATAGGAAATCACACAAAAGACTCATTTACCTCCTGTAGCGTCTTTGCTGTGAGTGCAGAGATATTTTAGGCCTCTCTTGACTTGGAAGGGTTTCTGCCTCTCTTGCTGGTAAAAGGTCAAATTAGGTAAAAGGAGATAGCTAAGAGCAGAGCCCATTAGTTCTTATTCTTTGACCATCGTCTTCTAGGAATAGGATAAAAATGACAGCAAGAAGGGACAACTGGTGGTATCAAAATACATATAAAGAGTTGAAATTTTATTGCTTTCTTGGTTTTCTGGATAAAAATGACTATTTTCTCGCAAATAAATCACTCAGTTGTTTAAATTCAAATTCAATTCATTGAGCTGTCATTAGAAAATATTGAAAGTACAATTATTTGTTATACTAACACCAAATCTTCCAGCAAAATCAATGTTCTTGGATTTATCTTTTATTTTATTTCACTTACAGAAGTGATTCCCTTAGGGTATAAACTTCTCCATTTGATTGTAAAATTGTACAGAGCAGGGCATCTTTTAACTCTGCTCCACTGGGTAGCATGGCATAGGTAGGTGGTATGGCCAGTTTAACTTTTTCTTCGGGTAGTTCCCTTAAGAACTTGTTTGTTTTTTCCCTTGTCATATACAAGTTGATGAGAACTTGGAAGTGAGAGTTCAATGAGAAACACACAAGTAAATCGCTGCAGGCTTAACCATAATTCCTGTATTCAATGACAATAAGAAAGATGACTGCTTTTGTAGAGATGTCTGTCTTCTTTCTTTTGTGTGTCTATCAGGTGTTGCATCGCATTAAGAAGGGGAAGTAGAGATGTAACATTATCCTCTCACATTATAAGAATGTAATTACAGACATAAAGGTCAATTCTAGGAAGCTGCTCTTCTTTGCATTCAAATAGATCTGTAGAATTAGAAATTAAAGAGGAATTAGTTATTTGGAATGGGTGCTTGACCTAGCTCAGGCTGCTAAAATAAAATACCATAGAGTGAGTGGCCTAAACAACAGTCATGTTTCTCATCGTTCTGGAGGCTGGCGGGGTGGGGGTGTCCAAGTTCAAGGTGCCAGCAGATTTGGTTTCCAAATGAGGCCCCCTTCCAGCTTGCAAAAGTTTGCTTTTTCATTATGTTTTCACCTGGTGGAGAGAGCTCTGGGCCTCCCTATCATGAGGACACGAATCCCATCATGGAGGTGCTGCCCTCAGGACCTCACGTGAACCTAGTTATGTCCTGAAGGTTCCATCTTCAGGTACCATTACGTTAGGGTACGGCTTAACATATTAATTCAAAGAGGACAAAAAATTTAGTCCCCAACCAAGGTCATAAGGGAAAGGTAAGGAATAATTGATCAGGACTGAAAGTCTCCTTGGTTTTCTGCATCTTTCTCACCTTTCTTCAACCTCTTCAATCTGTCCTTTAGAGCCTACTCCAAAATTTAATTGATCAGGACTTTCACTGGATTGGTTTGAGAAAAAATTCTAGTTGGAGGTGGGAAGATGGATCGGCTCTAAACTTTTCAAGGTAAAGGGCTTCAAAGGAATGGCGGGCGGGCAGAAAGAAGAAAAGGAAAGAAAAAATTGGGCACCTTGGGAAATGGATGAGGGGTAGCAGACAGACCAGAGATGAAAGGATGAAAAGGAGAGGGAAAGGGGGAACAAGGGAGAAAAGGGCAAAAAATAAATGATGGTATTTTCAGGAGAAGCTGAGAAACAATTTTTATTCTTCTGCTGTTTTGGGAGCTGAGGGGTCTGAGTAAGAAGAGAGAATTTGTTCAATTTTTATCCCTTTGTGCTTTTCAATTCCTTTCCTGTGCATGTGGCTGGGAGTGATTGACTTTTCTGATTTCTTGCAGGGTTTATTCTAACAGCTTGGTACAGAGGTGTGGTGCTGTCAACAAAGATGGTCTCCAAGCCTCCAGCTGCGAAGTTCCTTTACGGTGGGTCTGTAAGAAGGTCAGACTTTGACGGATGGCCACTCTGTCCTGCGCCTCAGACCTTCATCTTTAAAAAGACCTTTAAAATATCTTTGCAGAGAAGGAACTGGCCTCTGTGATGCTGGGCCAGCCATGGATACATATTTAGTGAATGCCAAACCTACCAAGATAGGGCACTGTATGGAAGATGTGCCCTAGGGACTGATGCTTTGCTGATGGGTTGTCTTTGAGATTAGTTAGGCATTAGGCTAACAGTTTACAGTGCAGGTTTAGTAAATTTATGAAGTACATAAAAGACTGTTTTTAGGAGTTCACTCTAGCAACTCAGGCTGCCTGCCTTATTGCTACCTCTATCTTCCTTGTCAAACATATACTTTTCTTTTCTCAGCAGATGAATGAATAAGGAAAATGTGGTCTAGCTACACAGTGGGAAAGTACTCAGCTATAAAAATGAATGATATCTTGTCATTTGTAGGAACATAGATGAACTGGAGGACATTATGTTAAGAGAAATGATCCAGACCCAGAAAGACAAATCCTTTGTGTTCTTACTCATGTATGAAAGCTAAAAAGTTGACCTCATATATGTGGAGAATAGAACAGTGGTTACCAGGGGCTAGGAAAGGAAGAGGGTAATAAGAGGTTGGTTAACAGCTTTGAGGAGTAATTTCTAATATCTTTAGCACAGTAGGGTGACTGTAGTTAACAATAATTTATTGATAAGTGGGAGGGGTAGGGGAAAGGACAAAAGGGCAAAGAAATATGAGAAAAGGAAAAAAATGGAAACAAAGTCTTTGCAAATAGGGAAGGGTGGAGGGGGTGAAGGGAGGGCAAGGGAAGGGGGAAAAGAAAGAACCAAGATACATCATGTAAAGGTACAAGATCCCAAAGATAAATGTAACTGTATTGTATACCTGAAATGTACCAATAAACTTAATGGAAACAAAACAAAACAAAACAATAATTTATTATGGACTTCAAAATAGCTGGAAGAGAGGAATTTGAATGCTTCCTTACGCGTGAGGCAATGGATGTGCTAATTATCCTTCTTTGATCATTACACATTTTATACATGTATTGAATACCACATTGTACCCCATAAATGTTTACAGTTATGTATTAATTAAAAATAAAGGGCCGGGGATTTAGCTCAGTGGTTTAGCCGCCTGCTGCGCAAGCGCAAGGACCCGAGTTTGATCCCTGGTACCAAAAAAACCCAAACAAACCAAATAAGACAAACAAGAATTAAAAAATATATCTTTTTATGTTATATTCTGAGGTAATCTGAAGAAATATGCAAATATATACTACTGCTAGTATAGGATTGTGTATAACATGTATGTGTATATAATGCATGCAGGGAGATTTTATGTGTGCTAATGGTAAACGTGTTAATTGTGCCTGCTCACATACTTTTATCCAACAGTGGCCAGTTGTAGATGAAGCTTCATTCTAGACAATAATACTGTGAGAATATACATTGTGAAAAGTGGGTGAGGACAGGGTGGTACCTTCTGCTTCTTGGCTCTTCACACTTACTCACAAGATTACACTTGATTGGATCTGGTTTTTCTGAACATGGGTGGATGTGGTGAATAAGCCAATGTGTGAATGCATCCTTTTTACGCAGTCAATGTGTGATTTGCATATTAATGTCATGATAGTTGTTAATCTGATAAGGCATTTTCATAAAGGAAATTTTACAGAAGCAGTTTATGTGGTTGAGGCACTCGCACCTCAAAAACGAGAAAGATTTATTTCTCCTAGTAGAGTTTGGCACCATTAGAGAGGGTGCTGTTTAAAGATGTAATAAGCAGTAATGAAGTACACTCTCATTCTTTTGTTGGTGACATTGAATTGTCCACTATTTGTCTTCATCATTCACATTTTTGAAAGAATATGCACCGTATTTTCTCTTCCTCTCTCTCTCTCTCTCTCTCTCTCTCGTACCCGGGATTGGACTCGGGTCCTTGCGCTTGTGCAGCAGGCGGCGGAACCACTGAGGTAAATCCCCGGCCCTGCACTGTATTTTCTAACACTGTATCCTAAACACTTGAGATAGTACTTACATTCAGTGAATATTAAATAGATAAATAAATGAATAAAAATAAAGATGTAAAAATACTTATTCTAGTTGTTTATGGTAGCCCATATATTGGAAGGGCTAAGGGCAAGAACAGTGCTGTGTGCTAATTCTAAGTCACCCATATGAGCATGAGTTGTGGACTCCAGAGGCCTCCAGTGGCCAGTTTACTCTGAATATTATGAGATAGCAGGAAGCAGCAAAAACAGGCTCCCGTCCTCTAATCTCTGAAGGGTGGTTCTGGGGCAGGGGTATCCCTAATAAATAGATGTGGTAGGTGACTCCCACCGTGGTAAGGATCCATTGTCAATGATTCCAGTTAGGTCATGGCTTGGGTGCTATAGGGTGAACAGTTTCATTTTTAAAGAAAAGTAAAGGGATGCAGCAGGTCTTTGATTGTCAGGTGAGCAGACAGGATGTGTGCAGTCCTCCTTCGTGGAGAGTTCATTCCTCTTGTAAGGGCTTCTCACCTGTCATCAGCGCTGGGTCTGGTTCTTTACAGCTTTGTCTTGCTTAAGGATGCTGCAATGGAAATTGCAGCTCCTTTCCTAGGCGTTTGTTGATTCTTTAGATGTATTTATTAGGGGCTAGGGTTGCTTATGACTCAATGCTTTTACCTTGTCTGGTGAAATAAAATTTGTTAAAACTAGAATTTAAAAAATTTCTATTAGTGCTTAAATTCCACAGCTGATCCCTTTGATGAACATTATACCATAAACTTACCTAGGAAACACAGTGTTTGGAATAAGACATGTATTGAAGTTACAAACAGAGCAGTAACAAAATGAGAATGAAGGAAATCCAGAGGGAGAGAGAAAAAAACCTCTGCAGAGGCCACAGCTATATCACATCTGAGGGCTCAGTAGGAAAAGTGGAAATAAGATCAAACAATCCTAACTCCTCTCCATCTCCACCTTTACTGTAAGCCACTGCCACTCGCCTGGATTATGTGACAGTTTCTTTACCTCTCCCACCTTTGACAACAGTTTTTTTTTTGAGGTACATTTGATATACAAGGAATAAAACATATTTAAAGAGCAGTTTGTTTTGTGGTGCTGGGGATTGAACACAGAGCCTTGCACGTGCTAACACTGCACCACTGAGCTACATCTCCAGCCCCAAAGAGTAAAATTTGATAAGCTTTGATGTATGTATATGTCCATGTAACTATCATCACAATCAAGGTAGTGAATATATCAATTACCCACACAAGGTTCCCCATGACTTTTGTAACTCCTCCCTCTTTCTCCTCCAAAGGTAAGAGATTCCTCATCTACTTTCCGTCACTGTAGATTGGATTGCACCATCCACAGCGTTACAATGTATCAAGTTTTACAGGATCATACTGTACTTATGTGTGTCAATCTTCTCTCTCTCTCTGACAAAGTACTCAAGAAAGAAAACTGAAAGACAAATTTATTTTGGCTCAAGTTTCAGGGTTTACTCCTTGTTCTGCCTGCCCCATTGGGTCTGTGATGAGGCCATATGTCAGGTGAAAGGGAATGGGGGTGCAAAGCTGCTCACCTCATGGCAGCCAGCAATAAGAGAAGGGGAGGACAAGGGGAGGGGACACAGGTTGGGGGCAGAGAGAGAGAGAGAGAGAGAGAGAGAGAGCGCACCATGTTTTAGTGGATCTAGGTTCCAGGGTTTTCCCTGAAGAATTTTGATAAATCTCTTTTTAATGTTATTTTTGCATACGTATAATATATCAGGGAGAATTACTGGCTTATGGGAATATGGATCTTAAATTTTATTAGATACTTTCAAATGGCCCACTTATTTAAATGCTCCAGCAATGTCTGAACTAACATCCCATTTCTTTATAACCTCGCATGGCAAAGGTGAGGTGAACTGCAGGCTGCTAGTGCTCATGAAGACTTTTCACTGCTGCCTGCAGTGATGAGCTTTTCTTTAGCAGGAGATATATCATGTTCTTCACATTAGAACATCTGAAAGGTAAATCTTCCTCTTGCTAGTAATGATATGTCATAGCAAATCTTTGATAGCAATAAAATCTTCACACCCATTGTATTTCTGAGAAGGAGAAGGAAATGAAGTGGAGGGGAAGAAGCCCCTGTTCTGGCACAAAGGAAAGGTTGTTAAAGTGATGTGATAAAAGCCAAGGAAGAGCTGGGAGTCCTGGTGCATGCCTGCAATCCCAGCACTGAGGTAGGGGAATCTCGAATCTGAGGCCAGCCTGGGCTACACAGCAAGTTCAAGGCCAGCCTGGGCTGCATAGCAAGACCGTGTCTCTGAAACCAACAACCAACAACAAAAAAACAACCAACCAACCAAACAAACAAAAAGGGTGATTTTCAAAGTAAAGGGAACATGCACATGAAATGCTAACAGCTGTAAAGTAATATAACAGAGAAGTATTCAATTAATATGACAGTACTCTATTGGTGTGATGGTGACAGATGTGAAATTTCGGTAAGGTAAAAATCAGAGGTAAGGAAGTAGAAACAACTTGTTTAGAAGGTTCTTTTAAGAGAGTTTGCTTATGACAGGAAGGAAAGAGATAGTATCTACATAGTTTTATGTAGGGTTACTATATTTTCAAAGATGGATAAGAAAGAGTAACACATATTTGTAAGTTGAGGTGAAAAATTCAGTTGGATGAGTAGCAGAAAATGCATTTGCGAGAGACTATGTCTTATAGACAAAATCCTCGAGTCATCCGACAGCTGGAAGAAACGAACCTGGGTAGAAAGAGTGGGTGGAGGAAGAATATGTGAAGATTCTGACGTGTTTTTAAGTGACAGGGAAGAAAATGTCTACTGTCCTTACTAGTGAACTTTGTTTTCTTAGGGAAAAGCAAGGCCATGTGGTAAGCACGAGGGGGGAGAATATAGATGGCGGAAGTTTGGAGTAGTCACACGGGAAAGGAAATGTCCAGCAGCTAGTGATGAGCTCACTCCCAGCGTGGAGAGCTCAGGGAGGCTGGTGGAGACACATTTTTAGCAACTTCAGTCTGTGTGACTGATGATTTTTGGCAGCAGCTCACACTGGACTAGTTGTAGTAACACACAAGCCAAATGATGGGAGTAATGGAGAATGAGGTTTTCAGTGTAATTTTGGAGGAAGGAAAATGGTGTAAAAAATCAAAAGAGATAGAAATGGAGTAGAAACCCAAATAGTAGGGTCCCTGAGAGAGGAGCATGTTTGATTGGAAAAGATTTGGAAGTAGTAGGACATGAAGTAAATATCACAGTGAATATTTTTGAATATATATCCTATTTCTTTTTTTTATTTTTATTTTTTTATATATCCTATTTCTTTACAATAGATTACTGAAAATGAGACTCATAGCCCAAAGTACTGTACATGCCAAATTAAAAAGATTTAGGGGCCAGGGATTTAGCTCAGTGGTTCTGGTGCCTGCCTTGCAAGGTCCTGAGTTCGATTCCTAGTACCAAAAATAAATAAGTAAATAAAATAAAAAGATTTAATAGATAGTAGCAGGTTTGTTTTCCAAAAAAGTTGAAGCAATTTTATTCCTATTTGTAGTAGGTGAATGTACCATTCTTCCTCCCTCCTCAGGTCCATGTTTTCACTGTTTTAAATTTTGATTAGTTATTATTATCATTTCTATTAGGGGGATGATATGTCCTTGTTATAGTTTTTCTTCTTTCTGACTACTATGAATTTGAGCATCTTCTCAA